GATTCTTGTCAGCAAATATACCTAATCATTCTTGTCAAGTTAGTGAACGTGGAATTGATTTTCTTCAAACCGGGTGGGACGGGCCCCAGTCCTGTAGTGATTCAAATTTTAAAGTGTAAACATTGACCGTGAATATCCCTCACTCCCTCACCCACTACAGATGTGGTAATCTATGTATTTTCCCCATATCTGATCATTTTTTTCAATGTGAACTTCAGGCTTGTACGTTCCCCTCAAGAAATATTGGAGGACTAACAAGGAGACTTTTTTCTGTACACGGACCAGAAGGGACGCGGGAGTTTATTTGCCAGCCGCTCTCCGGTTTTATGTAACCCGGCCGTAACAGCAGACAGATTATACACAGCTAAACCTATCATAATCAAGGTATTTCTCTACTAACCCCGGGTGAACGTGGAGAGGAAACACCAGGCGAGGTTGGACCCCGACTTACCCATTTCCATATATAAACATATATCTATATAACTGGTTATCTCACTGAGAACTAGAATTAACTGAGTTTGTCACCAATATCGATCAAACGAGCCGTAGAACCTCTGAAATCCACTAAATAGCTTATTCAGTCTAGTCTATGTGGTATTTGTGGATAAAATATATTAGTAAGTATTATATTGTAAGTACATGGTAAAGTGTTATGAATGTCTGATATTCATATAATTCTAACCTTTCATGACAACTTGTTGGTTTATATACACATTAACTTTGAACTACTGTATTCAGCTTAGATATTTATAATTAGTGAAACATAGTTATTATATAAATAATAAACATAGTTAGACTTGTTGATTTATATAAGCAATAACTTAAAACTACTGAATTCCTATGCTTTGGTATCTAAAGTGGATAAAATATACTTATAACATTATCTTAATTTTTTGGTTTTCTTTTATTGTTCCCCCGGTGCTCTGAGTGAGCTAGAAGAGGGTGTGGAGGGGAATTTAACATTACACAATATAATAGTTTTTATTTCAACATGACTGAACAAGCCATTTTCATTATATTTTATTAAGTTTGCATTCCGAGTCGATGCACCGTAAACTGCTGACACAGTTGACCCACTAATTGGTTTAAGAACAATATTTTACATTATATGACAGTGCAATAAAGGTATTCACATCATATTGACGTATTTTAATAATTATCTCCTGACAATCGTCCCGTCACTAATTGACATATTGACAGTCGTTAGGGTCCTAGTAAAGGCCCCTACAGTTTGGTCCTTCGAGCGAACTTTTCTAGATTTTCGGTTTCGCGAAAATACGTGTCACGTACACGTAGGAAAACACGTTTAGGAAAGTATTACCAGTGACAGGATTGACAGTGCATTGCGATTATATTAAGTGACATATTATATTAGTGACGGGGCATCCAGTGACAATAATTTGCAATACTATAGTATCCTATGACATTCTGCAGTGACATACATAAGTGAAAATACAATTATTAAGTGACGCATAAAGTGACATAGAAATAAAAAAAAGTCAGTGACAATTCATATCAGTCAGTGACAATTCATGACTCAATTATTGACATCAATTAGTGACAGTAAATTTTTATATCAATTAGTGACAGTCGCAATATTTAGTAAAATCAATATGTGACATAGTTTGATGTGCAAATATAACAATCAAGCAAAGCCGTGTAGCCTTGTGAGTGACTATAGCGATCGAGGCGCACAGAGTTGGTGCAATCATCTTTGAAGCTATACTTGACAGAGGAGCCGGTGGTATGTCACCGAACTTCTCATCGTGACATCGTTGTCTCTCGGATTTCGAGGCAACATCCTACACAGTTGACATCAATATCCTGCAACGGGAGTCGGTGATCTATCACTGAACTTCTCATCGTGACACCGTCATCTCTCGGATTTCGAGGATACATTCTTCGCAGGTGACATCAGTACCAAGTAAGACTGTTTCATTATTACTTGTACGGCGCATTGACAAGAATGGAGGCTATTTGAGATAATCAGCAGTCCATTATTAAAGGCTTAGAAAGGGAAAATATGAACTTCAAGAAAGATTATTTTAGAAGAAAGACTCCTGAGTACATTGCTAGCAAGTTAGAGAGAGTAGACAAATATTGGGAAGATTTTGAATTCAATCATGACCAACTATTGACATTTAAGGATACCATACCACGCATGAATATTTTATAAAGAAGGTGTACCAACAAACACAAGCATATTATGAATCGACGCGGGATATGATTGTGAGTTTCAAGATGCCAGTTGACAAAATAGAGATTGGGGAAAATACGGTATCGAATGACACATCAAATTTGAAAAGTTTGATAAATCAACAAAGAACTAACTTTAAAGCGTTTCTTAGGCAAATTCAGTATGGTAATGTGGAGGGGATAGATGAAAAATGGGAGTTAGAAGATGAACTTCGTAACATACAAGCACGCTGGGAGTGTATTGACAAACTACATTGGCACATAGATAATTTGTTGGGGGAGTCGAACCCGGAATACGAAGATGAGTTTAACGATCAAGAGCAAAGATATAGGAACATAAAACGGATTTTAAATAGAAAAATATCGTCGACGGCTCATCTTAAAGAATCGACACCGAAAATGGACATTCCTGTGTTTACAGGGAATAATATAGACCGTCACTAATTGACATATTGACAGTCGTTAGGGTCCTAGTAAAGGCCCCTACAATGACATAAATCTTAATTACTGCATTTGGCTTGGGTTTCCAAAAAAAAAACTACTCTTCATTTCCCAGTTAGTCGTAGGGGTCGACTACGGGATTGGCTGTGTTTGGAGAATATTGGGCAAAGACCTGGAAAAAAATCTTAACTCGTTTTAAATATGCTAAACAACCTTTGACGATTTAGTGATCACACGGCTCCGTCCACCCCCTCGTGGAATACGGAAGTGAAATTTCCTTCTAGCATAGAAATTTTTACTGCCTTTATTTTCGGGAGAGAATATTATTAAGAGGGCCTGCTTAATAAATTACTGTTTGATAATTTGTCAAAACCGCAATAACTACCTATTTGATTTCTTTCTGTCGCTTGCGTCAAAATCAAAACGGTACACCTAATTTTCAGTCGGTTGAACCAGGTCAAACTGCGTTCGAAGAATATAATAACGTGATGCATTAAACACCGAAGAAGATGCAGCTGATGGTGTTCGATTTATCATTTTCCCGCCGACGCATGCGCAGTGGTAGTCTGCGTCATTATGAACATGAGCAAGATGCAATGACATAAATGTTCGTCGTTACGGTGGGTGGGCCAGAGCTATTAATTGCTTCGCGGCTTATTATTATAAGATAGAATCGGTAGAACTCTGAACATATTTTTAATATCATTGAATTTGACCACAGTTGAGAGATCTGACATAGACCCCTATGCAATTTCTTCTTCTGGAATAACGGCAATATTGTTAGAAAAAAAATTGTAGATAGATGGACAGAATAAGGTGTTTCGGGAGCGGAGTGATTTTACTGTCTAAAGATTACCGCAAAACAGTGACAGTTATTGCAAGATCAATGAAATATGGGCTTGCCTCTATTAATCAATTTGTAACGCCGTGTAATAAATTTTCAGTTTTCAGTTAATAGGAGATTTACATTGCTGAACGATCAATTTACAGAAGATTCCTCCAAAAAATTCCTAACTATGTTAAAAGCTGTGTTCATGTCGAACGGATCTTTTATTTCATCCAAATTATTGGAAGCGGTACGAAGTTTGTTGGGTCTGCTAGTTGTTTTATATTTTTGTTTTATAGTTTACATTCCCTTATTATAGTATAAAAATTTTTAGCGACGAAAAATTTGTGTATTGTGTCTAAAAATAATGTTAAAAATAGCCATTTTGCGCGGGCGTTTAAAAAGACGGCGTCCGCCCTTGCTTCGTTTCGGTGTAGAGCTGTAGTGTAGACTATGGTTTTTGTTCTTAGGCTTGTATTATACACAATGATTTTCTTCATATAATTATAAACCTTCCGTGAAAATTAGATATTAAAAAGCTGGAGAGTTTGTTTGATTGTTTGTTTATCTCAGGAGCTTCTGGTCCGATTTGAAAAATTGCTTTTGTGTGCATTTATCGAGGAAGACTATAGGTTATATAACATCACGCTACGACCAGTAGGAGCAGAGCATGGATGAAAAATGTTGCGAAACCGGTAAAATATTATTTTTGTGAGCTTCCGTTGCGTGCGCTGCGCTGCGTAAACGGTTTAAGTAACACAAAAATCATGTATGACGGAATTGTTCCCCTTTAAAAGTTTTTAAACAAAGTCCGCGACAGCATATGCCCATATTTTAAGTTTGACTCACTATAACTCATAAGGAGACCTCTAGTTGTGACATAACTGTAATAATAAGAGATATGGTATTGTGGCCATTTTTGTAGATATTGATGAACTTTATAGAATTTTGTACATCACTTTGCTCTATTGTCAATGACTTCCGCAGCATACGCGTTATAAGGTTTCCTTTTTTGGTATTTTTTTTCATACATTGGGTTATATTATCGAAGTTTTCATACGAAACCCTAACTTTTATGAAAATCCTCTGTAGCCTATGTTCATTAGGGATTATGTAGGATGCTAAATTGTGATAGAATTTTTCATATCGGTCCAGGAGTTTCGGAGCCTATTCAATACAAACAAACAATCATCTTTCCTCTTTATTTATAATATTAGTATAGAAATATTGATGGAGGGACAATTCAAGAGAAATAGAGTTTATATAATTAAAAATGAGCCTTATTTGAATTACATGCATATTACCTATTGCAACTTTATAATCCAACGATTAAAAACAGGGGACGAAAGGAAAAAAAAATAGTTACAGGAGAAGCAGCTGATGGAAAGCTAGAATAAGTATTGTAAACAAGAAGAACACAATCAAAATTACGAATGAGAATTTGATAATTACAACATATAGAAATTCCTTGAGGAGGCCTATGTCCAGCAGTGGACGTCCATGATGATGATTTTGTTTGTAGAGTATAAGAAATTACCTGCAGTGAAGTCCCGAATGTGTGGCATATTGTACTTTCCGGTGAGCCGGCGTGCGTTGTCAGCCCCGTTGTTAGCGTCGTACTCATTAATGTGTGCTCCGTGACGTCTAGCCAATTTATCAATCGCCCGTTCTATCACACTGGAATTACGATTCGTCGATACATTAACAGTGTTTAAATTAAACAAACTAATAGAAATAAAATACTGTCTACGTGGGAGGACTTCGGAATTGGAAATCTTTGTAAGGAAGCTTTTTGTTGGATTAAAAGTTTTGATATAGGTACGGGTTCCCTCTTTCTGGCAGATTCTAATGCTGTTGCTCCGAAATTCATCCAATCATTTGGAATACACATACACTTATTCTTTATTCGATTTTAAGGCATACTTTGTCGTAAATATCATTATTGCTTATGGAAACGTTTCTTAATATTGACCTCATGTCTCAATAAAATTTGACTGACTGTATGTATGAAGACTGGAATCATAAATAAGAAAACAAGGTTCGTGGCACACTCACAGAATACCGTCTTCAATTCTCATGTCTTTCGTAGAGAAATAAGTCAAGGTGCCGTTGCCTGGCCAATCAGGTACAGGTTGTGGTTCAAAACTGGCGACGGTGCCATATTCTTCGGCAAGACGAGACAGAATGTACCGCGCCATCCAAAGGTCATCAGCAGCTCTCAGACCTGGACTTGGACCCACCTTCAGTTCAAATAAGAAGATTGTCATTAATTAGGAGGATTGCTACCATGTACAGTCCAGTGCTATGATTTGGGACCTATTCCCTCGAAATGTAGTTTGAACATTCGCATTGCAATTAGATCCAAATCTTCTTCTTCAGAACAATATAGCGTTGAAACGTCATTAAACAGATATTTTCAAATTAAATGTCATTTTTGAATTTTTTTTTTGACCTCCTTGGCTTTATTTATTTTCGGTAGGAACATTATACCAGTGTCGCACCAGAAATTTTATTGGCAATTCAATAGAATGTAATCAAATCACATATATTATTAAATTTTTTATCAAATTATTCATAAATAAATTATAATAATAATAATAACTGTTTTATTGCCACCAAATTATGATACACTTATTAAAACGTACTACCTAAAGGAAAAACAAAATTACAAGTATGTATCTTAATATAACATTAAGTGGAGGCAAGAGGACGAGGCTCAGCGTAAGCGGAGCCAAGGTATGCCCTGGTCCGTGCTGGTTTTCAGCCCCAACCTTTTCCCTGCGATGTTATACACTTATTACTTTTATTAAACAGTATTTTATAAGACATACCAAAAACGTTTGTATAAAGAACGGTGATTAAGGAAAATAATAAGTCGATTGATGAACACAAATTCGGAAGTGTCCGTTGGCTTTTCGAGTCCGAAGAATTGGCGCATATTGAGCAGTTGTCTATTACTTGACTTTAGGCATTAAAAAAAGAGCATATTATATTGTCAGAGTAATGTGTTTGGTCAAGTATTAGTTGATGATGTCCTCTTTTTTGTTCGATAATCAACCTAAGGCGGGTCCCTAATCAAACAACGTGACTGAACCCACCCTTAATTTTGCGAATTTTTGCCACTGTTAAATGTGATAGTGACTACCCTTATTACGATAATGTTATATTAGTGACCATGAAAGCTGAAAACTAAGATATCTATCAGTCCTGATAAAATATTTGCTTTACAAACACGTATAGCTCTTGTAACAAATGACAACGCAAGTCCATCCGCCAGATAAAAGGATATTCCTTCAATCCAACTGTAATATATCAGATAGGTAGTCATAGTACCTACTTACAAAGTAAATACTAAAACGGACTTCATTTGCAAATTTCAGCTAGATATTTATACCTACCCTTAGATAAATTAATCCAAAAATGAAATCACCGTTTTTTTTTTAGTAAAAAGTTGCTTTTAACTGATTAATATCTTGTTTTGGTTGTGAAAAATCTGATAAGTACCTGTTTTCATAAAGTTCTTATATTATAATTTTGAAGGTTCTGATATATTTTTTAAAGAAAGATTAAGGTAAACCTACATTCATCCATTACAAGAAAACGAGCTACATTTTAACGGTAATTGTTTACTTTCAGAGATGAGGGTGGAGAAGAAAATGTTTCGGCCGCCACTTACAGCAAACGTGTAGTAACCCGCTATATGATGTAGACCGTAATTTAATCCTTACCTTATTGAGTGAGTCGGCCGAATAAAACGGCAGGCTCTTAGGTAAAATTTATTTTAAGTACGATTCGAAAAGCATCGAAGTAAATTACAAATTAATAAATATAGTACGGCAGCTAAGACGCTAGCTTCTTTTAATTGCTTAAATTAAAATTTTAGAAATTCAAACCATGCATGCAAATTGAAGAAAGTTATACTTAACCACAATTTTCTTTGTTAATAAAAATTCAAATGAACCTGGACATGTGGTGAAGCGATCAAGAGAAAAGGAAAAAATGTGAATAACATATGCAGCGGTGAAAACGGGTTGTCGCTAGGGCCGACATCGTCTAAACTTCTAACGACGTCGCCGCGCAAATATAAAAAAAACCTGGATTTTTGGGTGAGATTAGGCATTTTCCTCTGACACCCCAAAAATTTCTTGATATAAATGAAAACATCGTTTACATTTTTATTTTCGTACCTATTCATCTTTATAACATAGTGGCAGGCAAATTTAATGGTTCACTAAACTCTATTGTACACTCAAGTACAAAGTTAGTATCAAACGCAGGCTGTGTGACTGAAAAACTTTGCTAGACATGGAAACAATGCGTTAGGTTCTATTATATTATAACAGAAACGATTAATGATTTTGCAATTTAAGAAAACCTTAACCTGAACACTTCCGAGCAAATTTGACTAAGTAATCCAATTACCTACTGTGTTATTTAATATACAAACTTGGAAATTCCATTGGGAAGGCGTTGTACCAGGATTTATTCCATTAATCTGAACACCAGCGTAAAGACAGCATCTGTAACGAGGCCTTTAATTAATTACGCTTCATTACTTTATAGTGTACTTACTTTGGCACTTTGAATATAAATAACTTTAAATAGACAGTATTTACCATAAATAACTTAATAATTACGTAATTCGAAAAAAATCAATTACAAGGGGCAAAGCTCAATAGCGCAGTGCTTTGCGAGCGGAAAATCGTAAATGTCAAGGTACTTTCGCAATTACTGAAATGGATGGGTGAGCAAAAAAAATATTTTCTTGATAAAGCTCAAGAAAATATTTCTTTTGCTCGGAACAATGCTTAGGAAATCAAATTAAGTCATTGGTTTCAGATGTATCTAGTCATTAGCACCCACCAATATGCATTGGGCCCGCGTGGGTGGGACGTGGCTGGTTCCCCTATTAAATCTTAAGGGCAAGCTTGTACTGTGGCTGTACCAGCAGTGAATATACATTTGCTCCTATCATGAAAATGCTTGATTTTTTTATTTTTAGGTACTGGGAAAAAAGCTCGACCAATGTATAAAGCTGAAATTGACAAAGATAAAAAGTAGTTTTGATATTATATCGAATTGACTGTCCGTTTCCACATCACGTTACCTGATATACAATTTTCATCAATTGGTAAAAATTAGACTTGCAACGAATATTCGGTTACCATTCGGTATTCGGCCTATTCGGCTGCTTTTATTATATTCGGCCGAATACCGAATACTTAAATAATATATTTTTTCATAGAGATAATTGGTAAAATGAAAAATTAAAGTCGATTGATTACGTATATATTCATATTTTCATTTCTGTTATATATAATCATTTAAGTAGTCATTGGTACATACCACAGGTACATAATCATCTTCTGAATTGGAAAAATGGAGGATTACTATGTATTTGAATTATTGTGGTAATCAAAATTTAGAAGGGTAAGGTACTCATTTCCTTCATAATCATTTATTAAGTAGTCATTGGTACATAAAACAGATACATAATTTAATCATTTTCTGTATTTAACAAGTTAACAGTTTTTAATTCATTCAGTCATGTGATGAATGGTTACATAATAACAATTATTTAAAGTTAACGCGCCGTTTTTGGCCATATCTCAAAAGTTGGTTTTGTAATTTAGCCGCATTTTAGCTTGAGGACGGCAGATTAGAACAAAACAAAGGAGCGCGAAACAATCACGTCTGCACAAGTTTTTGGCGCTAAAATCCAGCCGAATACTTTAGCCTAATATTCGGCTATTCGGTGAGGGGCCTCACCGAATATTCGGTATACTGCCGAATATATTATTAGTTGCAAGTCTAGTAAAAATATATGAACATTATTATATATCCGAAATTGAGATTCATAATAATGATGTAGATTTGACATGTATCGCTATCATATGCAACTAGTTCTGACTATTGGACCGACCGCCAATGTATAAGCATCAGGTGCAAAATAATATATACGTATAGAACCCTTAATGTGCCATGAAACTAACATTTAACTGTTTTTTTTCTTGCCTTTCGCAATGTTAGTTTTACTAAATAAAATAAAATTACTTGATGCTTAAGAGCCCTTTTACAAAATTTGCTCCTCTGCCGTACTGATCGGCGCGTAGGTAGATTTGCACTAGTATATATTGCATTTTACGGGTGATGTTTCGACCATTCTGCTCCGATCGTTCGACACATCAGATTCTCGCTCCGACCGCGGACCGTGCGCCTCGTCGCACCGCCGCCTCCTTGCTCCGTGCGCCCCGCCGCACAGCTGCCTGCTTCGAGTCGACTCGACGCGCCTGCGCTCATACGTGAGATCCAAGATTGGACCAGTGGATACCTAGCGGTGTTAACGAAACTGGTCGGCGTAGCCCCGGTACGTCTCGAGCTCTCCTGAGCTCGGAAACCGGAAGACCCGATCCCATTTGCACTTGGGCCTTCCCAAGGGTGACGGTTGTTCCCATATTCGCTAGGAATATCGGAACACATCTCTTACAGCTTCAACCGACCCCCTGCCGCGGGCAGGGGAGTCCATCGGTGTCGTATAGGGTGTTAGGACCTGTGGCTTCACGCCACAGTCAGGGCACACCTACACACACATCACACAACAACCTACACAGACCTACACACAAACACATCACAATGGACATTACACAACAGGTACTGTCCCTCTTCTCCGCCCTCGGCCTCACCCTGGATGAGGCCGCCATCAAGGAGCTCGTCGCGAGAGCGCGCCCCATGCGCGACTCGCCCGCCAGCCCCTCCCCCGAACCCCCCCGCCCCGACACCCCCTGCCTCCCCGGGCCCTCGAGCGCGGGCAAGCGCCCCGCCTCGAGCCCGGTCTCGACCTGCGACTCCGACTCGACCATTGTGTCGGCGTCAGACGACTCTGTGTTCACCACTGTGGTGAGCAAGAAGAAGCGGCGCTCCAAGCGCCGCGCAGACACCGCGTCTCCAACGGCGCCCTCTGTCCCTCTCAGCCCTCTCACCCCTCTCACGGTCGCCCAACCGACCACCCAAACCCACCCAACACAGACACACAACACCACAAAACCACACACTAGGTGCACCGCCGCACCTATCAAGGCAAAGCCGCCACCGCCCGTCTTTCTGCGCGATAAGGCGCAATGGGCAAAGGTCGCGGACCTTTGCAAAGCTCAGAATATACATTACACACAGGCGTCGAACACTGGTCACGCCATTAAAATCACCACACCCACAATCGACACATTTAGGAGCCTCACAAGGCTACTAACCACACACACAATCCCTTACCACACATACGCCCTCCCCGAGGAGCGCAAAGTCCGCGCGGTACTCAGAGGAGTCCCCTTCGAGCTCTCCAACGAGCTCATTCTGAACGACCTAACCGATCAAGGCTTCCCAGCCGAGGCAGTGCACAAGTTGCACAGCCGGACTGGGAAGCAATACCCGTTGGCTCTTGTCATTTTGACCTCGGTCCCGGCAGCTAGGGATATTTTTAAAGGTCCCATTACAGTCTGTGGCCTCGACAATATCAAAGTCGAGGCCCCACACCGGCGAGGCACCCCTGGGCAATGCCACAGGTGCCAATTATATGGCCACGCAGCAGCCAACTGCTCGGCGGCCCCGAGGTGCGTCAAGTGCCTCGTACCCCACCTCACCAAGGAGTGCACCCGCACTCGTGACGCACCCGGGGCACCCGCATGCGTGCTCTGTGGCCAAGAAGGCCACCCGGCCAATTACAGGGGTTGCCCGCGGGCCCCACGCCCCAGGCCCAACACTCACACTCACACACACAAAGCCAACCACGGCGACAAAAACACACCCACCACCACCTAAGAACACCACCACAAACTTCCCGGGGCTACCCAAGGCGGCCGCCCCTCGCAGCCCGGCGCCCCCGACAGCCTGGGGACCAGCCAGGGCCCGCCCAAAACCACACCCACCACAACACACCACACCAACAACACAAGCTAAGCCAGCCCAAGACGTCTCTCTGGCCGAGGACATGGCGCTTATTCGCTCCTCGCTCAAGAGGGTGAATATCGCCGAGATCCACACTCTCGCCGCGAAGCTCCGGCTAGCAAAGACACCCCTTGAAAAGGCTATAGCTATAGCCGAACACCCCGAACTCGTTGCCGCGTTCGATTAATTTTTTAATCATTATAACACTGGGAAATAACCAGACTCCGAACACAAACAAAAACACTATACACAAAACACGCGGTGATAACTCAAACAAACACCACTGTTGTTTAAATTATGACCGCGCAAAACACTAACATAACAATCACTCAACTAAACCCCGGGCGTACCAAGCCGAAAGGCGCTTCGCTTGTGTCATTTAATACGCGCAGCTTAAATTCCAACCTTAACGAAATTAAATTATTTTTGCAAGATAGGGAACCCGACTTTCTGCTCCTTCAGGAGACCTGGCTCAAACCAACTCAAATGAAGGGGCTGTCGATCCCTCAGTATAAATTAATCCGGAACGACGGTGCCAACGCGCGCGGCGGCACCGCAATTTACTATAGACGCAATTTACACTGCACACCTATACCCACTCCCGCGCTCACAAACATGGAAGCCACCATCTGTAGGCTGGCGATGACAGGACACCAGTCCTTAATCATCGCCTCAGTCTACATTAGATCAGGTACACACCCTCACCGCGCAGACTTCGAAACACTCACTTCACTAGGTACATCAGTCATAATGTTCGGTGACTTTAACTCCAAACACACCGACTGGACATGCGAGACCACCACCACCTCTGGCCGCAGATTACTACACATCACCGAGGAGCTTGGCTATGATGTCATATGTCCCTACGCGCCCACCCACTACCCAGACAATGTACAAAACCGACCCGACGTCCTGGACTTCGCGATCCTTAAAAACGTGTCGCTTCGCCTCAGCTCGATCGAAACACTCGACGACCTGGGGTCAGATCACAGACCGGTGTCTCTAGTTCTAGGTCCCCAAGACCCACTAGACGCCCCCGCGCCCCCTAAGAGGCTATTCACCAACTGGGACGGATACCGCTCCGCTCTCGAGACCGCTTTAGACTCCCCCGAGTCCCCGTTCCCTAACTCACCGGACAGTCTCGACAGCACCGACAAGATTGACGAAACTATAGAGTCTTTAACTTTACTGGTGACCGAGAAGGCGAAGGAGAACTCGCGGGAGGTTGAGCTGCCAAAGCCCAAGCTCCCGCTGGCCATCCGGAACCTAATCCAAGCCAAAAACGCCGCTCTCCGGAGAGCCAAATTATACCCCACCCCCGAGTATAGGGCTACAGCTAATCGCCTTCAGCGACAAGTTAGGTCCCAATTAGCCGCTCTGAGACACTCCCGTTGGGAGGAACTCATGGCGGACATTACCCCATCCCATCTTGCGTACTATAGAATCGCGAAAGCGCTCCGTAGCGACGTCACCACTCACACCCCCCCGCTCACTCGCCCCGACGGCACCGTCGCCTTCGAAGACGACGAAAAATCTGAGTGTTTTGCAGACAGCATAGCGGCGCAATGCACGCCTAGTACGC